TCCGCTGCGGTCTGCTGATCCCCTGTGCCCTGGCGGAGGGGCCACCCCAACCGCAAAACATCCATGAGGAGCGGCAGCTGCGGAAACGGGGGCCTGGGGGGGCGTCGCACGTGCTGGTATGGCACGGGGCGAAGCTGCTGCCTGCGGAGAAAGCGACTGGAGAAGGAGGCCTGCCAGCCAGGCTATGGGCTGGGCAGCCTGCTGATCAGGATGCGTCAGACAGCCACGTGCTGTCTGACACCTCTGCCCCCTCCGCACGGGTGCAGCAGCCTGCTGTGCTGCGCCTCGCCCCAGCAGACCCAGCACAAGCCTGACATGCGTCTCATGATCAATCGACACAAGCTTGCTTCACACAGTTGAGTCTGGCATATCCAAGGATGTGATCGGCAGATCGGTTTGAGGTTTGGGGCCGCTCCGCCGCCCGCTGCCGGCTTCACACGCAGTTGCTGCCACCGCCGCCGTTCGGCGCCCGCCATGTCCTGGGCCGGCCCCCGGCCGCCCTCCTCGAGGAGCTCCTGCATACCGAGCGGAGCAGGGTTCGCGACCTGCTCTCTCTGCACCACCTTGTATTCTGCAGGCGTGTGGGCATGGTAGGGGTCCGGGCAGGGCCGGGCGGCGCTGCTGGAGAGAGCGGCAGCGCCCTTCCATGCCGCCATGCATGCTCCTGCCATGCCTCGCGATGCAGGGCCCCACCGGTCTTGGGGTTGGGCCCGCCGCCGCCCGGCACCACCACTGAGGGCATCTGCACCGGCACCTGCAGGCGGGGCAGCAGGGCAGGCACAGCGCAGCCACTTGCCCCGGCTGCGGCACCTCGGCCCAGGCAACCTTGAACCCCGCCGCCCCTCCCGGCCCGCGGTCTGCTCCCCCGGCAGGCTCACCGTCGCGCGCCGTGTCTCCGTCACGCTGCCTGTAGACACGGGCGATGCGCCTGCCGAGGCGGTGAAGCCGCCGGGCGCGTCGCCGCCGGGCGCGGCGCTGCCGACCTGCGCCATGCTGCTGCTCCTGTGTCTGCTGCTGCTGCTGCCTCTGCTGGCCTTGTGGGCGAGGGCCAGCCCCTGTGCCTCCCCTCCACCTCTCCCCTGCCGCGGCTAAGAAAGGCCTTCTTTGAAGGCGCTGGAGCTAGTGTCTAAACCCTCCGAGAGGGCACAGGTTCGATTCCTCCCATGTCGAAACTTTGTGAGGACAAACGCGGCATAGCTGACCGGCTCAGCGCCAATCCAAGCCAATTCCTTCGGGAACGCCTAATAGAATCGCCAAGGCTTCGGCACAGGCCTCCCCGGGACCCATTCACTACTAGTGGGGGGTACTGCA